AATATAAAATATTTTTTTAAAAACTGTGCTTATGCCTTTTGCAGCAACATGTATGGAGCTGGAAGGGATCATGCTTAGTGAAATAAGTCAGAAAGAAAAGGAAAAATACCAGATGGTTTCACTCATAGCAGGAGTATAAAGGATCAGGATCAGGGGAGAAAATAATAATAATAATAATGAACAACTATATACCAGAGACATTTTATGGGGGTGGAGTGGGGAATGGGATCAAAAACAGTGGGGACCAAATACAGTAGGGGGATGGAAGTGTACTGGACTATGGTGATGACACATGGGTGATTTGGTGATGGGAAGCCCAGGAGATTACAACTGAGATGAAAAAAGGCACAAAATGATGTAAAAATAAATTATTATATACTTTTTTAAACTGCTAAAAAAGCACTGTTTAATTCTGAGGTTAGTCCATTCATCCTTATAAAGCTAAAGCCCTACTGTTACTCTTATTGTTTCTCAATTAGTCTGTTTAGGGCACAAGTATGCCGTGACAACCAACCGTGTCTTCCTATTTAATCTTTAGGCACCAAGAAGTAGAACTGTCAGCAAGCCTAACTACTACCACTAACTACTACTATTTCAGAATCTAAGAAGTAGAAGGGGCCCTGGAGATGACCAACCCAAGCCAAAAGGAAGGAATAATCTTTCCAACATCATTTTGTCCAGCTAATATGTAAATATGAGGACAGTAAATATGTAAATGACAGTAAATACGATGACAGTGGTCACAACAGTAAAAGTGGTGGTGGCTACAGCTAGGGTTAGGCCTTAAACGTTTGCGTACACTTCACACTTCCAATCACTAAACTGTAAAGATAAATCTTAAGAAAATCTTAACAGCAAATATAAAAGACCATCCCCCAGGAGATAAAAACCTAAAATTTAATAGAATGGGTAACATTATAGCATCAAAAAAATAGGACTCTCTAAATGACACCATTTTACTCAATTTATTTCAGCATCAATGAGTAAAACAGAAGCATCTGCTTTCACACAATTCAACAAGATAAAGGCAATATCATTGAAGGCCTGTGTGCCAAACACTTCGGTAAATAGCAAAGGTACCATCACTAAATTACTGTTAGAACATATCCCTGTAGCCTATTTTACTCAGTAGAGCCTTGACAGGTTCACATGAAATAAATATAGTGCAGCTTAGTGTAAACCGCCCCCCCCCCAGCCACTAGCTGTGAGAGCTTAAACAAGCCAGTTAATCTGTAAAAATGAAGAAAAGTTGATGCTATGACAATGAAATGTGATATATAGTATGCACAGGGTTGGTCTGGGTTTCCTTCATTTTCTGGTAAGCCAACCCTAAGATTTTCTTCTTATCCCACCCAAATTTTTGTGACACTCATTTAAGTGTCGCAAATTTTTATCCAACTTTGTATTTCTGTATACAATTAATATTCTATTACCTATTATCTTTACTATCTTTATCTTACCTACTGTGTGTGCCTTTATAATATTGCAGATATTTCCATAATAAAAATTTTTGCCTCAAAAATTTTTTATTCTGCACCTTAGAATTCAAAATAGAAGGCAATATTGTACTACAAACGTTAAGGGCAGAACAGCACATAAAAACACCGCAAACTAGACTGTGAGCAGTAGAAGAGGGCTTGCCCCATCGCATTTCCTGCTCTGAGTTGTAAGAAATTTCCTTCTACGAATGTGTGAATAAGACCGATCATATCGCTATTAAAATTTAGGATTGGAACTTCAAAAAGCCAAAGTCAATGACTCCTGATTCCGACATACATATATTAATATAAAAGAGAAGTATGTCATTAAGGGGTAAACTATGCAACAGATCCCGCCCCCATATACTACAGACAGACACCGATCCATTGGGGGCACTGTCGTTCAATGAACATTTAATATGCACCTACTGTGCACTGGTAGTGCCAGGCAAACCAAATTTTTAAAAACCGCTTCTCTCCTAATAACAGCACGAATGTGTCCCCAAACTTTAGGGTTGCCCAAGTCTTAGCACCTGGCAACCAAGCACTGGTCCCCAGCCCACAGGGTAATCAGAGACCCAACCCCCGCCCCCACATCCGGATCGCAGTCCGGGCACACAGCCTCCGCCCCACGGATCTAAATCATCACGGGCCCGAGACCCGTCGGGCAGCCCCGGGCGGCCCAAGGCTGC